TCGTGTCCACCTTCCTCCCTGGGCCACCCTCCCCGGCCCCCGTCTCAGGGAGGACCTGGGAACGACAGGGCAGAGGAGGCCACTGACTGACACAGAAGCGGATCCTCCCCAGCTGTTACTTGTCTGTCCCGCCAGTGGTCCCCGCACACCACCCGGGAGCAGCCGGGGCGCCTGCAGAACAGCCAGCCTCCTCCACGGCCTGGGGTCAGACCCTTAGACACGGAGCAGAAGCCAGACGTGACCAGCTGCCACTGCTTGATATTGAACAGGAAGAAGGCGGCACGGAAGGCTTTGGCTTTCCCTTTTCTAGGAAACAGAGAATGCAAACCCAGCAGGCCAGCCTGGAGGGCAGGTGCAGCAGCTCAGTCCGAGCACTTGGTGACCAGCAGGGCAGACTCACCTTTCCCTTCTCGGAGGCAGCATCTCCACTCGGGCCTGCAGGGTCTGTGTTCTCCCTCACCAGCTGCAAAAGACACGGAGCTGCAGCAGACGGGCTCCGGGGTACGGGCAGGAGGTCCGGGCCCAGAGAGCCCGCGCCAGGCCTCGTGTGTCTTTGTCCTCACGCTCCGCCGGCTGAGGCTCAAGTAAACTGCGCCCTGAACCCAGCCCAGCTCTCCTCTCACCATCCCCGGCTCCCTTCCTTCTCCGAAGGTGTTCCCAATCTCAGGTCAGAGGCCCGGTGAAGCCAGGGACCTGTCTGATTTGTACGTGTTGCCCCAGGGCCTGGCACTCTTCAAGGTGCACAGTAGGTGACTCAGAGTGGCAGCCACGTAGTGGGAAACATCCAGCTCAGAGCCTGCAGCCCCCAGACCTCATCAGAGCTGAGCTGGGGCCGCGGGCGCCAGAAACAACTCTCCCCACCCCTAGGCACCGGAGTCACCAAGGAGCAGGGCCACCAACGCCCCCCTCAGCTGTTAACCTGTAATCACTGACTTCAGGGCAAGCAGTTTACCACAGATGCATGACAGTAACCACACTGATTGAATGGGATAGTGTGCGGGGTTCCTAAACAGCGGACATAAGTTTCAGGTCAGCAAAATGAGTAAGTCCTAGAGCCCCGTGGTACGACCTCTGTGCCTACAGTCAACGATACTGTGTGCACTGTGTTGTACACTTAAAAGTGTGTTAAGAGAACAGATCTCATGTTAAGTGTTCTTACCACAATGAAATGTGTATATAAAATGAAAGGCCTTCCATGTTTAAAGGAAAAAAACAAAAACTCCTACATTAAGCACCTACTCGGTGCCAGGCAACGTTCTGGATGTTGGCAGCGGAGCAGAGCCTGGCCCACACAGAGCCTCCACTGGGGCAGGTGCTCACAGGTGCCAGAGAGAGCGAGGGGCAGGACAGGAAGGACGGCAGCGGGGGGCTCCTACAGGCACTGGGAGCCTGGACTTGGGGAGGGGAAGGCCAAGAGACGGGGCAAAGGGAAGATCGAGGGCAGGGCGCTCCAGGCGTGGGCATGTTTGCTGGCAAGTGGCAAACGGCCGCCTGCCCTTCCCTGCACCCTGGAACTCAGGGTTCCCATCGGCTCCCTCCCTCTCGTTCCCAATAAAAACAAACCAGCATGGGTACCTTGGGGCCTCGTGTGTGTTCTACTGCTACTCTGCCTCCCCGGCTCCAGTGTGCGCCCGGCTCAGGCCCTCCCTCTGAGACTCGGTGCACGGCAAGGATTTACTATGATTCGCTATGATCCCCTCACGGCTTCGAGCTCCAACTGTCCTGCCGTGAGCCCTCCTGAGCCAAACCCGCACATCCTGCCCCACCAGACACGTCCTCCTCGGCGTCCCATCGGGAAGCCAGACTCAACGTGCACAGGACCATTTCCTCAGGGAATCTGGGACCCCCGGTCCCTGGGGGCCCAGAGCCCTGCTCTCCCGGACCACCTCCCTCTCAGCCCACCAGGGCTGCAGAGTCGGCCCGCTCCATCCCCCTCTCATCGCAGCACCCACCTTTGGCTCAGGCCACTGTGACTGCCCTCACCTGCGATGCCACAGTGAACTCCGAACCAGCTGCCAGCCAGAGGGACCTTCCAAAGCCACATCCCTGCCCACGGGCCTCGCCCAAAAACCTACCACCTGTCCAAGCCCGTCACCAACTGTCCCCGGCGCCCTCCAACCAGCCTGAGCCGCTGCTGCTGCTGAGTGCGCCCAAATCCCCGCCACCGCCAAGCCTCTGCCCTGCTGTCCCCGTCCCCACCAGCGCTCCGCCTGCATCGTCCTCCTGCACCCCGGACAGGGCTCTGAGCCGGCGTGGAGCAGCCACAGGAGGACCTTAACGGGGACCTGGCGGGTGGCAGGTCCTCGGCCACAGGCCCCCAAGCCCGGGCTGGCAACGAGCAAGAGGTGGACGAGGTCTGAGTGCGGCGCGGCCAGGAAGGTCTCCGCCGCCCTCGAGCCCACGGAAGGACGGAACTCTCGGCACCCTCGCCCGTCAGCTGCTTCCACAGCATCTGTCGTGAAGCGTGACTTATTTTGAAAGCAGCTTTAAACTGCAAATTCCCTAAAGCGCAGGGCAGGGCCTGCTGGGCTCCGGAAGCCGAGGCCTGCCAGCGCCACCCTGGCTGCAGTCCTCGGCCTCTGCTGTCCCCGCAAACGCCACCTGCACCCTGCGCCCAACCCCCGCCGGGGCCCCGCGGCCGCGCGCACCTGTGGAGGGCCCTGGAAGGCGAACACCGTGGGCACCGCGTTGTGCTTCAGGTTCTTGCGGTTCCCAAAGGCGCTGAAACACTCGGGCCGGAAGTGCTCAGAGCAGATGACTGTGTGCTGCTTGGGCTCGAAGTCGCCCCGGCCGATGTTCAGCACCCATTCCTTCAGCAGCTCCGGGCGGCTGAACGGGAACCTGGGGGCACAGCAAGGAGACGCGAGGGATTCGCAGCACTGAACGCAGCAGCACTTCAGGGTCCCAGGGGCCTTTCACATCCCCACGCGGCATTTTCCTGGACAGCCTGGAAAGTTCAGTAGCCTTGTCCTGTTAAACCACGTCTACTTTGCCGTCGTGGCTGTCGGCGGCGTCCTGAGACCGTGAACGTGGCCAAAGAGCCCAAGCAACCTGCTCCCCGAGCCACATCTGCCAGGTAGGCCACCAGGTGGGCCTCCATTCCGGCTCCGGTGCTGGGGAAGCAGGAGTGGGAGAGACAGCCCCGCCCTCACGGAGCCTACATTCTAGAACAGGGAGACAGCCGGTCCACCAAACTGACATGGACTGTGCAGGAAGAAAGAGTAGGAAGTGGGGAAGGCCACCTGAGAGGTGACATCGGAGCAGAGGCTGCAGGAAGCGGGACAGAGAGCCGTGTGGTATCAGGAGGAAGAGCAAGCGCGAAGGCCCGGAAGGCGCAAGGGGGTCACAGGCCTCGCCTCCGGAAGGAGGGCTTTCCCAGAGGCTCTGGCAGAGGGTGGCAGGTGAGTCCGCCCTGGCTGTTGTAGGAGGGCCCCAGGGGGCTGGGATCAGGGTGTCAGCAGGAGGGGGTGATGAGCGGGCAGATCTGGGATGTACCGTGAAAACCAGGCAGTAAGGTTTGCCTGTGGGCCGTGCAGCAGAGGAGGGAGTTTCATGTACTAAGACTGCGGACTGGGAGTGCGAGGGGCAGCTCTGGGGAGTCAGCAACTTGGTTTTCTATGTCAGATGTTACATTTGAGGTGCCTTTTACATGTCTGAGGGCTGAACGAGTGGCAGGTGGACATGTGTGTCTGGAGATGTCACTGCGGGCCCGTGCCCAGGTAAGGGTGGCAGAGCCATGAGCCTGACTGAGATGGGCACCCTGGGGAGCGAGCATGGACAGGGACAAGGCAGGGGCATGGCCCGAGCCCTGAAGTGCTCCAGCGTCTGTCTGGTGTTGGAAATGAGCAGGATCCAGCCAAGGGGACTCAGAAGGGACACTGACAAAGAAAGAGGCCGAGAGGTGTCCTAGAAGCCAGGTGGGAGGGGGTCTCAAGGCATCAGCAGTCAGTTGTGTCACAGGCTGCACCACTGCACGTGGCATCCTAAGGGCCACTGGGGACATGACAGAGCTCATTTGTGGGAGTGGTGGGCGTGAGAGTCTGACTGGAACGGGAGAAAACCAGAGGCAACGCCACCCCCAGGTACACACCCGACTGACACCTATGGATACGGGTGCTGGAAGGCAAGACCCAGCAACGATGCGCAGAGCCATGTGCCCGTAATGGCCAAAGAAGAGAGGCACCCAAATGCCCTTCAACTGCAGAACACGTCGATTCTGGTAAACACCTTCCTAAACACTACGCGGCAATCAAGAGGATGAGCTGCTGCTGCCGGCAACACGGAGGGCTCACAGGCACAATGTAAGCAAAGCACAGGAAAAAGTACAGCCTGTGATTCCATTCAGTGAGGTTCCAGACAGGCCAAAGCAGTCCGCCTTACCCTTGGGCACTGGGAGGATGAGGGGCTGGAAGGGGGAGCGGTCGGGGTCTCCTGGGGGCTGTGATGTTCTAAATTCACGGCAGTCACACGGACTGTTCACTTTGTTAAACTGGTTGGGCTGTGTGCTCATGATTTGTGCACTTTTCCGTCTGTGTGTTACACCTCAAGAGACACATTCACTTCGAAAAAGAAAACCCTAACAGGAGGAGAGGAAGTGGAGACAGGAGAGCGGCAGCCCTTTGGAATCCCGCTCTGAACAGGGCAGAGGAAGGCGCCGTGGCCGGAACCTAAAAGAAAGCGTGCGACACTCGACCGATGGGCAGGCGGCCGTTCACTCGGCCGGTGTGGCATGCGGGGCGCGCAGGGACTGACTCCAAAAGCTCCGCCGTCCTCCCGGGGCTCCCGCAGAGCCCGAGGTCCCGGCCCCGCGCGTCCACCCGCTGGAACGTTCTCATTCCTCCTCCCCACCCTTCCTTCCCGGCATGAAGCCCGGAGATGTGAGCACCGCACACCTGAGAGACGTCAGCATCGCTCATCACGCAGCAAATACTGAACACCTACTACGTTCCGGGCAGCATCTGAGAACGAGATATAGTCCCCGGGCCGCGGAGGGGACGCACACCAAGTAACCGCAGGGGCGCAGAGCTGAGCGCGCCCCAGGCCCGCCACGGCCTCCCCCGCGCGCGGCTCCCCGGACCGGCGGGAGGCTGTGCGCCGGAGGGCAGGTTACTCAGCCTCTCCGACCGTCTCCCCGCGCGCCCAGGCGGCCGAGGCGGCGCCTGGCTTCCCGGGCTGAGACCTCACCGGTCCCCGGGCCGCCGCCCCTCCGCGAAGGGCTTGGCCGCACGCCCTCGGGCCTCCCAGGGGCCGGCCAGCGGCCCCGGCGTCCCCCCCCCCCGCGCGCCAGGCCTGGGGCTCCGGCGGGGGCCGCGGCCGCCGGCCGGGGCGAGGCGAACCCCCGCGCCCCCCGGCGCCCCCACCCCTCACCGGTGGAAGGTGAGCTGCTTCCTGCGATTGCTGTAGCGGTTGCAGCACTGCCGGGCCGCGCACGACTTTGGCATCTCCAGACACCAGGCCCGGCTGCCCCTAACAAAGATGGCGGCGGCGGGGCTTGAGGGAGGGACAGGGACACCAGGAGGGGCGGGGTCATGGGACGGGGCGGGACTGGCCAGTGGAGGTGGAGCTAACGGGGCGCGGCCAGTAGGAGAGGAGGGGCCTGCGGGAAGGGCGGGGAGGGGCGGGGCCAGCAAGGAGGCTGGCGAGTGAAGGCGAGCTGGGCTCTGCTCCGCGGCCAGCATCTCGCGCAGTGCCCGCGACCCGCGTCAAGGGGTGCTTCTGGGCCCAACTCAGGCCCAACACCCCCCACTGGGCTGGCCGGTGCAGGTTTCACCCCGGTTCGCTGAAGCCCGTCACCTTCACCTCTTTGCTTTGGAGCCTCACACCCACCCACAGTCTTGGACAAGGCTCACCACCCACTTGGGCCACTATTTTCAAGATTTTAAGAGGTGTTGATTCACACATTTCGGCAGCTCCAGCGTCACGGAAGGAAGTACTAGCTGACCAATAGCTGGTACCAGACTAGTTAGGCGGACCAGCTGATTGACTGAACAGGCTCAGCCACTTGGGACCCCCAAATGTAAAGGGCAGAAGGAGCACCCGGGGCGGGGGGCGGGGGATATGCTAATCCCGCTTGCAGAACCTGAGGAGGTGGCAGCTTTTACAATGCAGGGTAACCACTCACTGGGATTTAAGCTAATGCACAATGGGATGAAGAAACTGTGAAAGCTATTCCTGTCATTCCTACTGCGGTTTGTTTCTGGAGAATTTACTAGAAAAGTATATTAAGGGCTGTGAGCATTTTCCATCCTGCTAAACCAAACTCAGACTCTGACTTCCCAAGTCTTCACTTCACTAATCATGGTTTGGGGGTGGTGATGAACAGTCTTTCAACAGAAACACCTGAAGCTAGACATGAACCTCAAAGTAGCAATATATTTATTTACAAAATATACAGTTTCACAGAAACAGCTTCGCTTTATACACATAAGCTTTATAATTACGCAGAACCATGTAAACGATGTTAAGTGTCTGGCCTGGCCAAAGCCAACGGGAGGGGCCTACTTTTGGGGTGACAACTTTCCCTCCCCCTACTCCATTAGCCTCCAACCAGGAGCCCCTAGATGGGCCGTATCTAATTTGCATAATGCTGATTGCAGCTGCCCAGCTCACTCTAACAGAAAAACCAAGGTGTCTTGACTTCTTAGACACCAGCCACAGGGGTAAGTAAACCTGTCAAAAGAACAAAAAGGAAATGAAGGAAACAGAAATGGAGATGAATATCAAATGCCTTCCAGAGGTGTCACCAGGAATTGAATCTTCTAAGAGTAATACGGCAATTGCCAGGGTTGGCAGTTCCACTCTAAAATCACACCTATTCTTAAACACACTTTCAAAACTTTGCGTAGTTTTGTTTTTTTCTTTAAAGAGAGAAACACTTTGAAACTTTGGCTACTCTCATGGTGAAGACACGGGACAGGCAATGTCATGGGGCAGATCTTTGGCAAATTCCTCTCCAGCTGAAATTTCCTGGACGTTTGCCCTAGTCAGAGCCAGACAGTTGTCTGAGGAGAAGGTTGTTTCTAAGCCACCTTCTTACTATTTTTCTCTACAGCAGAACTTCTCCCTTGGGGATCTACACAATAAAATGGGTTTCAGAAACTATCTCTCTCTATTTTTGTGTTAATAGAAGCAACAGAATTAAAAATAAAAAGGCAGTTGGCTGGTCAACCATGAAAGATACTAGGACAAAATATAGGCTCTGATTAGCCAGTTACAGTTCAGCCCCCCTGGTGCTTCAGTGTGAGAATGTGGACCAAGTTCACCTGGTGGCCCTGCACACCTGTGGACCACGTGGAGAAGCCCCCAGCAAAGAGGCTGAGGGTCCATCTTTTTTTTTTTCTTTTTTTTTTGTTCTATTTCCTTTTTTTGAGAGTCCATCTAGATGTAAATAAATATGACTGACTTGGGCATCCTTCCCTTTTCACGCTTTATAAGAAACAATGTTTATGAAAACATACCTATTGATTTACAAAAAAACCTTTTTTTTTTTTTTAACAAAAAAAACATTTTTGAGAACAAGTATTTGAACTGCTAAAGAGCAATGTCAATTTTAGAGAAAGCTGAAGCCCTCCCTCTCCCTCGAGCCCCAGAACCACCAGTGTCCCGGACCACACTGCCCTCAAGCAAAGACCTGCAGGGGCTCCAAACTCCCAGGCTTCTCCAGAGCTGGCCTGCACAGGGGTCTCCCCAGTCCAGGGTCCTAGTTTAGACCTAAGGAACTCTGCACAGTTCAGTGGTACATTCCTGGAGACCGATGTTACCATATCACTCACTCACCACTTCAAACCAAAAGAAAGGCTTCAGAAGTCCTAACCTTGCCCCATGCAACCAGCAGGCCAGCCTGTATGAGGGGCACACTAAGAAAAACCCATGGGAGAGGCCTTCCTCCCAATTTTCCCTTTTACCCCACTACGTAGAGGAACACGGTTCCCCAGCGACTGCCTAACCTTTAATGCTGCTACTAGAAAAAAGTGAGGGAGAGAGACAAGGAGAGAATCCGAGTGCCCCTCACTTGAAAACAGCTTGCTGGGCACCCCCAAGGCCCTCAGAAGCCAACTGGAGAGAAAGGGAACCCAGGCAGAAGTATACCAATACTTTTGGCTATTTCGTGCAAAAAGACAGGTTTTTTTTTTACATCGTGCAAAACAGGAAACTGAGTTATGAACACGGGCCACCTTGACCGCCCCCCGAACCGACCCCCCTTTCCACAGAGAAGCAGCTGCATACTGTCCCTTTTAACAAACAGAAGGAAACCTGGGGGTCACTAGCTAGCCCACCCCCAGGCTCCTCTCAGGGTGAGACCAGAGGACTCCAGCGGGCAGCCCCCAAGGCAGGGGAGAGGGCGGACCACTAAGGGAGGGGCAGCTTTGATGGCTGCTGTACAGACACCTATGATAAAAGACTTACACTCGAGAAGAAGCTTACAGGTACGGCTGTTCATAAACAGGCCGGGGAAACTGAACATCTCCTCTCGCCAACACAGCGGAAGCAGGAGTAACAGCTAGCACTTGTTCCAATTGGCGGGAGTCTGTTAACAATGAGAGTAAGAATTCACAACTACCACGTACCCTCATCTTCAGCTGGACCAAACCCACTGCGCTTGGGTGTGTAGTCCACCTCCACTGCAGAGAACACAGCTCTAGCAGCAGCTTTGGCCAACGAGGATTTTATTCAGTCACTGGCTATGTACAGTTTATACCTTGGACAGCTGGTCCTTTCGCTTAGGCACCTGAATGGCAGGGGTCTGCCCGCACCAGAGCTGAGAGTTCTGTGCTCAACTAAGACCAGGGCCAGCAGGCCCATCGTCCCTTCCGATTCCTCGCCCACAGTCTCCTTGCTCTCCAGCAGTCAGTCCAGAAACAGCTTCCGGGAGCCCATTCGGGACCGGTTGGAACGGCGGATGTCAAACTTGGAGTCCCGGCACTTTTGGCAGACAAACACTTCCGGAACGTTGGACTTCCGGATTTTCGCACAGGACAGGTGAATCCAGGTATGGCACTCATTACACTCTATCATGGGGCGGCCAGCAAATGGCTTCATGCAGAAGCAGGTGACGAGGTCCCAGGAGTCGTCGTCTGAAAGGAGAGAAGCACATAAGAGGAGGGAGAAAACTTCTCACAACCCCTCTCCGTCAGGAAAGCCGCTCTCCAATAGGACAGAGCAGCTGAGCTGCGGTGAAACCGATTTCAAGTTTCACTTAAGGGCGATGCTTCCCTCTTAAAATGCAGCAAATGCACAAAAAGTGCACGGAAACACACGGCACCAGGAATTACCTGCGAGGTGTTTACTTACGAGCTGCGTTATTTTTACATTTCGAGGTCTGTTCTGGAATCTCAGCTGTCCTCAGCTGCGATCACCCCTTCCTAAACATCTCGGCATCCACTTTCTTGCACCTTTTCCCCTGAAGGTGGTAGGGCACGCTCCACTGTCACACTCCAAGGAAGGGACCGCGCTGAGACCCCTCTTACCATCCCCTCGTCTAACCACCCGCCCGTGGCACGCCGTCCTTCAGGGGCCACTCACCTGAATCCACCATGATGTCCTCATCGTTGCCGGTGCTGTCCTCGTCCCGGAACACCACCTGCTTGCCCTGCCGGACAATAGTCCGTTTGCCTTCAGTTTTTATCTCTTTGACCTGATCCGGTGACACCGTGGCACAAGACCCGCTGGAAGGAGTGTCGGAGTCCCAGCCCGAGCAAGGGTCGCCGGGGGCCTGGGGGATACCCTGCAGGGTAGGGCTCGTGGGGGCCTCTGCATATGGGTCGGCGGCTTCCAGCTGCAGCAAGCCCCCCGCGTAGCCCTCCTTCCCGGGCACGTCACTGTCCCTCCGCTTCCTCCTCCTCTTCTTCTTCAGCTTGTCGGTCTTCTTTCTGTCCAGCAGGAAATTACTGGGCTTGGCTCGCTGCAGGAGGGTGGGCTGCAGGTGGCCAAAGCAGCGCTCAGAGACTGGCAAGGGCACGGTGGACGAGATGTCGCTGAAACCAGCCTCCCAGCCATCACTGTCAATGGTACCAGCAGTGCTATTGGCAGGGCTGGGGCTGCTCCTCAAAGGGAGTTCCTGAAAGGACAGAGACAAAGGTGGCGGGTTCTGATTAACCCAAACAGCCCCCAGCACCAAGAGCTGGCCCAGAGCAGAGCTCCCCAGGGCCCCCGGCCAGGTTGGGCTGCAAACGTGGGCGATGCACAAGCTGGAGTTTCCCAGCTCTCACCAGCGTTATTCTTTAGGAACAGTGTGACCTTCCAGCTAGAACATGAACCCACAAGAGGACCCTCCAGCCCTTGCCGAACCCTCCCCCCTGCCTGAGTCAGGAACTTAGTTGATACTCAATACGTATCTGTGAAAGGAATGCTGAAGACGCCCTCACACTCTTATCTTTCCTGATTGTACAATCTCCCCTCAATTTGTCCTCCCAAAGGATGTACTTTTTTAATTAAGTGAATGTAAAATAATTGTGAGGATTTTCTGACGTCTCAAAATATTGCAAAGTCAAAGTAGGTAATTACTGCCCCAAAGCAGTGAGTTCAGCTCTATGGTTCCTTCAGATCAGTCAAGCACTTTTATTTGCAAATAGTGGCAACGTTCTGCATGGCACGATGCAAGCATTATCCATCTAGCTGGTGGCAGAAACAATAAGCCAGTGCTGGGTTTGGCCTCCTAGAAATACTGGATTCCTTTCTCTTTAGCCTTATATAATATGAACGAAGCCCCTGAAGTTTGCGCACCATGGCAGCGCTGGTCCACAGTTCTGCCCATTTCTCAGCAAGAAAAGAAAAATGCCTTCATTTACATGGGATTTTGGCCACGAGTCCCTGAAGATTCTGCAATGTGGTGTGCATAGCAACCGGGAAGCCACCCACCAGGCAGGGCAGGGTGGACTGGGCCTGACCATCTGATCAGCTTGAACCCCAGGCTCCACCACCGATTAGCCTGTGACCCAGGATAAGGAGTTCCCTCTCTGTGCCCCCGTGTCCTCATCTTTAAAATGGAGATACATAGGGAATTCCCTGGCGGTCCAGTGGTTAGCACTTGGCACTTTCATTGCCGGGGCCCGGGTTCGATCCTGGGTCAGGGGAACTATGATCCCGCAAGCCACACAGCGCAGTGCAGCTAAAATAAACAAACAACAAATAAAATAAAATGGAGATAAATAATAGCTCCTACCGCGTATCACTGTAACGGCCAAAAACGAGCACCTGGCCATAGTAAGCCCCTGATAAGTACTGGCCATTAAGAGCAGGCAGATATCAAAAGCATTATTTGTAAGCAAACTTTGAAAGTTTATCAAACTGTTTCGAGACAAGCCTGCACCACTTCCCAGGCTGGTCCACCTTTGTAAGATAGATTTCTGCCCGACTGTTGACTCAAGTCGTCCCAGGGAACCCCTTCCAGAGCCACCACCTTGTCAAACACTCTGGTTTTGCTGCCGGCAAGAAGTCAAAAGTGCTGAAAATTACCTCCTTTGGATAAGGGATGTAGCCTGCATAGGCCAAGACAAAGGTGCAGAACTTGTTGAAATCCTCCACGGTCCTGCGCCTCTTGGAACTGGGGGAGTACTCCTGTTAACAAGCGAGGAAAGGGAGGGCGTTTGAAAGCAGACACGTACAGGTGGGGTCGCAGAAACAAAACTAGGCAAGCTGGGGCTTTTAGGAGCTGCCAGTCACAAACACACTCTAGATTTACAGACACTCTAGAACAAGATAAGGGAAGTTTGGGTCAAGAAATAACACTGTTTTCAGAAGTTGAAAGAGGGGGTATTATGATGTTATTCCAAGAATACTGGGAAACTGGTTAGGAGATAAAAGCTTGCACAAAAGTCTATTTCTTAGCAGTCACGTGGCTTTTTTTTGACATTATCTGTTAGTTTCTATAGGCCTATCAAGAGCCTTTTTTGCCACAAATTTTCCACTTTGAAAATAAGCTCCTGCTGCAGCTGTAACTAAAGTCTTTTAAGTGACTTCAAAAGTCAACTACTCCATAACATTCAGAACTCAGACCTGGGACCCTGGACCTGAATCTCGCCTGACCCCTCCCCAGCCAGGGCTGCGTGAGGACCCCTTCCTCCTACCAGGCTCTCTCCTCCAGACGAGACACTTCCCCGGATGGTCCCTCCCCTGCTTCAACATCCGGGGGCCAGGCACCCAAATAAATATTCCCCAACTCAGAGGATAAACCAGAAACAATCCTGCTACTACCATTTGCACGCTAAAGATGAAATACTATAAGTTTTGGCTTGTGTGTCCCATCCCCATTCAATCAAGAAACGCCCTCGACAAGAACAGATTTCCTCCAGAGGAAGAGAGGAGCTCCAGAAGAAGCAGCTCTTATTTGCTCCTAATCAAAGCAACTGTGTTTCACTTAGGTTCATTCGACTAGCGCACTTAGGTTTTCTGCAAGCATTTCATCACCCACCCCAAGCCCATCCTTAGGAGCTCTGCTAACACCTCCAGAGCCTAAGGGCCCGCTCCACGGTAGAGTGAAAGTGGGGGAGGAAATGAGGCGGTGGGCTCCTGGACCCGCCCCAGCCCAGCGCGCCCGAAAAACTGCGCGGCCCAGGCCTGCCACCCGCAGGTCTCCTTCCAAGGGCTACACTTCTTTTGATTTTCCCAACTCGGTGCTAGCAAACCACTTCTGACCCCACCCCTCGGCCGCCCGGACCCTGAGGGCCGCGCAGGTCAGCGGAGCGCCGGAGTCCGCGCAGTGCCCAGCCCTTCCTGCGAGGGGGAGAGCCTGCCCCCTCCCCGGGAAGAACTGACCGCCCTCCCTCCGGCCGGGTGGGAGGGCCGCGGCCCTCAAACTCTCGGGGAGAAGTTTTATTTCGGCGGGGAACGTGCAGAAGTGGGTCAGCAGCCGGGACGGACGAAGGGTGGGAGGCGGCGGGGGCCTCGGGCCCGGGGCGGGGAAGCCGCGCCGCCCCTTACCGCGCCCGCCGCCCTGGCCCCGCCGCTTGTAGGAAAAGCAGATGGCGGTGCGGCCCCCTCCCCGCCCTCCCGCGAAAGCCAGCCCCCGCCGACACTCGGCCCCGGAAGGTGCGGGGCCCATCCCGCGGGGGAGGGGGCGCGAGTAGCCGGGCACGATTCAGGCTCCGGTACTGGCAGGCCCCGCGAGCCCCCGAGGCGGCAGCGCGGCGGACGAGCCCGACCGCGCCGCCTCCCCTCCCCCACCCGCCCGCGGCCAGACCCGCACCCCGGACTCGGCGGGCCTCGGGAGGGGGAAGGGGAGGGGACCGCAGCGGGGCGGGGGTCGGCCGGGAGAACCGAGGGCCGATCCCCGGAAGGAGGGGGAGCCGGGGCGGGGCGAGTCAAGCTCGGGGGAGGGGGCCCCGGAGGGGG